CTGCAGGCATTTCCACAGCATTGAGGTCTTCACCCACTATGACCTGCTGACACTTAATGGTTCCAAGGTGGCTGAAGGGCATAAGGCCAGCTTTTGCCTGGAGGACACCAACTGCCCTGAGGGTAGGTGCCAGTCGCAGAGCTGCCCACAAAGCCCCAATCGTGCTCCCCAAGAGGGGCTCTGCCCGTGCCCTCTCTCATCTCACCTCCCTTCCGCAGGGCTGCAGCGACACTTCGCCTGCGCCAACTTTGGGGAGCAGGGAGTGAGTGTGGGGTGCTGGGACACCTACCGCCATGACATCGACTGCCAGTGGATCGACATCACTGATGTGCCACCAGGCAGCTACACCTTCCAGGTATGGGGATGGAGGGGCACTGAGCCACTGGAGCTCAGCATGGGCACCACCAGCACCCCTCGCCCTGCGCATCAAGGTGCTGCTCTGCTCCCCACCATGCATGCTACAGCCCTTCCTGGCCAGGGCACAGCAGCAGTGCCTCCAGCCCTGCCCTTCACCCTCCCCAGGTGGTTGTGAACCCCAAGCACGAGGTGGCAGAGTCAGACTTCTCCAACAATGTGATGCGGTGCCAGTGCAAGTACGATGGGCAGCGCGTCTGGATGCACAGCTGCCACACAAGTACGGAGGGACAGGAGCATAGGGGGCACGGCAGGCAGGCAGGGGGAAGTGATGGGGCTGGGGATACTGCAGGTCCCATGTCCCCCTACCACCAACCCATGCCGTTGGTCTTCTCAGGTGATGCTTATGGCACTGATGTAGTGAACGACCTGGAGCGACGGGAGCGCCTGGCCAACAACCTCGTGTAACCCTGTGGCATCAGCACACTCCCAGCAGCAAGCACCACGGGGCTGCCCAGCTGCCACACCTCAGCCCCTGCGCCCCGGTAGCACCACACTGAGCTCAGGGACTCAAAGACTTTTGTATTTATTGATGCTGCCGCAGAGGATGGAGACAAGCACCAGGGCTGGTGGGGAGTGCCTGGGGGGTGCCCAGCTCCACACTGCCAGTGGAACCTGCAAGAGGGGCCCGGGTATCACAGCAGCCCCCACTTCAGTGCCTCCAGTGCCCCCCAGGTTGACTCCCTCAGCCTCCTGCCTGCCTCCCGCCCCAGCAGACTCAGGACAGGCCCTGGTCACTGCCACCTGTGCACCAGTCCTATCCTCAATAAAGGTGCTGTGTGATGGGAGACGGGGTATCCCCTTATCAAACCCACTATCCCCTGCTCCTTTCTCTGCACTCTTCCCTACCACAAAGCCAGTCCACAGTCAGGGTCAGCTCTGGTCTAGGTGATGTGTCCCCAGTCAGGCAGTGTCCCTGCTCTGCCACCCATGGGCACCAGCCCCCCGGCTGCTTGCATGTAGCTGGTGCCAAGCAGCCCTGGCTTTGCACCAGCAGTCCC